AAAAAAGAGCGCTGAGGTTGATTCAAATGGCTTCAACAGCTGCGCCTAATCCTTTATCCACGTTATCTCCGAAGAGACCAGGTCGCCTGTTCCTTGGTCTCTAAAAGTATCGATACCTGAGTTCTGTATGCATTCGTACCTCCGAAGAAGCCCAGTTAGCATCAATTCACTACATCCACCATCTACGTCTCGGGTTCCTCTTGTTTAAATTCCGCATTATAACCAAGATGTAATCTACTTGCTTAGCATATGAATACCGTTCTGATCATATAATAGTGAAATCAAGCACTGATAATCTGCATAGCTAGTCTATCTTAGAAATATAGATGTGGCTACCGGACCAGGAACAACAAAGCAGCAGAGCAGAACAGCCTCTGAGATGGCATGGATCGGCATGCTGGCCGGTTCATCGCAGACCTTATCTTCCAGTCAAGTATGGATAAGTTGCGCTATAACTAGTACCTATGTAACAAAATACTATCCATACTTACTCCATAGGCTGTACAAGCCATGATGTGTGGACGTTACTTGTTACTTTCCCTTTCGCCGTCATGTCAAGTGTGTCGGAACTTGTCAACTGCTTGGATGACATCACTTCGTAAGGACTGAATAGACTACTCTAGTCATTATATATTGTATGAAGGTGCTATTGCATCACCGTCAAATTGTAGCTCTGTAACCATGAAAACAGTATAGCAACAGTTGACTTGGCCATGCACTCTACCGACGGCTTTAGGAGTTTACTGGACTGAGCTTTAGATGAAAAACTCCCTGCCTCGCTAGCAACATATTATAAGATGCAATGCGAGGTCTGAAGTAGCCATTAAATTGTCCAGTTGTACATATCCCGACACTGAGTCTCACGGCAAACAAGTATGGAATTTAAATATATTTGATCCTAACTCGTATAACCTGTCTGCGTTAGGACAGTCCCTGGGTTAGCCACGGTCCAAAGAGAAGTGCATTTAGAGCCAATAGGGCTTAATAGGTTTGTGTAATGCGCTGAAATCGCTTGGATCGCTATGAAGCTCGGGTTGATTATCATTGGAAGTTCAATATGGTGGCTGTTATTCAAACCCTGGCCGAGGTGGAGAACAGCTTCCAGAGGTGACTTTTTCGGTGTATATTTGAGATGGAGCAGAGCTTGTTACCTATATCAAGCGCATGACTCGGCCGATCATGGAGAATAGTTGGCGAGTCGATCTGAACTCTGTAGATCAATGAGTCAGAGAAACAAGAACTAGAAACCATTTTTGATATCTTAGGATCGATATGAAATATATCTGCTTTGTCGAATATGGTAGGACGATTACCTGAGGTATATAAGGAGTAGACAAACGAAAGCTCGTCAATGGCGGAGGCTCAGCAATCCATGGCGCAGAACGAAAATTAACAAAATGCGCCACCTCCCTCAAAGCATGGTTGCGTTTAACTTAACAGTTAGTGATGGTCAACAGAGTTAATTAGCCGATGTGAGGACTGAGTTGAGGTCAATGAATTGTCTTACTCAGTATATGCAATGTGACTGTTCATTACTGTCAGCGGGCTCCTGTGGAATTGGCGAGGAACTTATCGCATAAACGTCACAGTTGCCCAGTTTTGAAAATGAACTGAAGTCGTAACTATATATCCATTTGTCTATACGCTACGGAGAAAGTATCGCTGCTGTATTTCTGATTCGCGTACCAAGACATACTTAGTCTATTCCTACCCAGTGTTGACTGATCTATAGCTCCTTGAAAGCACTTTTTTTTCTTGCGGAGCGATGAAAGATATGGCCATTCAATGTGCTGTAATGAGCGAGGATACTATTCTGATCCTACTAGGTATTGAGAGCACCTGTTGAGAACAGGAACGGGTATTGTGTTTGGTATAAAGCCAGGTCAATGATTAGCTAGAACATTAGACCTATGGGCAATAATGCCGACAAGTCCAATTTCGAGGTAAGTTAGCTGATACAAGGGGAAGTATCCGTCATACTGGTGTTCTATACCACTGCCCGATAGAACTAACTACTGTGTGGCCAATGCGATAATATATAATACAAATCGATAGATCCACTCTGAATGATGAAATCCTAATATTCAGCCAGCAGGATACGGTGTCAGGTGATCGATCTTTTAATAACCATGGTTGGAGTCTGTAGACCTCGGTTGGTTTTATGTTTTTTGACACATATTTCGAGATTCCTCCCACGGCTTGTTCTGGTTCCGCTGGTCTCTTGATAGACTAACATTCCAGTTGTTGGATAATTCACCAGCAAAGCTGGACACAGGGAACTACTTCCAAAAGCGTTGATATCCCGAAGAATGACTCGAATCCACAGTAAGTGACTGATGGGATCACGTGGAAGGGCTTCGCTCAGCTGGTGGAATTCCTTTACTTTTGGATTTGGTAATGGAAAGCTCAATGACTGGAGAACCAAGACTTTGAGTTTTACTCTCGGAAAACGGTCCGTTAAAGACCAAGAAAGCCGTGTCACTGAGGAAGCCGTCTGGGCGTTGGGCTCTGACAAATATGGTAGGGTTCCCCTTTCTTGCACATCACGGATGATCATCCACGGAGTCAGCCATGTCCTACCGAGGCGCGGGTAAACGGCATCGCATTGGTCAATTTCTAGATGTGGTGCTACTCGCCGGAAGCCTTGAAGGTACCCCCTAAGGTATAAGAACTTGGCATAGAGTTATGTTGGGAACTCAACCAAGTGGTCTGCTTGAAAGGAAAAGCGGGAGAAACGGGGGAGACTCCGGCTGCAAGGAGGAAGGAATCGACCAGGATGGTATGTCTAGTTCCATGGTATATAGATAAGACGGTGAACCCAAGGGTTTCAAGAAATGTTGATGCCTTATCATCCGTATGCCGGAAGGTACCATGGCCAAGCAAGTCGATCACGTTGCTCGATGATTGGCAGGTTGGGGCTAATCCGATCATGTGGGATGTGGAGATGAAGCGGCATGGAAGGAATGGAGATGGAATATCACCCATTATCACCGTTACGTTATGGATAGTAATCGGAATATTTAGATTCTAAGGGGCGGTTCGTTGAATGACGAGTGAAGTAATTTCATGAGTCTCGTGGGTGACCGCAAGTTTGAGTACTAAGACTTAATTGCTACCTATACTGACCCTAGCACGCAAGGTGTCCAATGGAAGCTGCGTGGAACTTTGAGGGTCTTAATTATTTGCCCAAGAGCAAAATTCAATGGAACCCCCTTGAAGTTATACGAGTCATCCTTAGAATTATTGTTGATTTGACGGGGTCTGCATTCCGAGATCTCCGATCCTCTGGAACGACGTTTGGTTCGTCGTCAAGATTTGATTTTCCCTATATCATATGCAAAGGGATGTACCCAAATCATGTACGCAAATAAGATGTTTCATTCCAAAGCCTTGAAGAAAACTGAACACATAATGATGATTGCCGAACATTGTGGTATCTGAACCGTGATATTCTAACGAGGGCCGTTGAAGCTACTAGTATTAGCAAAACTATCTGAAGTAGCTAGACTAGACTAGGAGTACTATCGGGCCTGGATGATAGCCCGTACTAGTACAGTAATACCCCAGAGAAGTGGCGTATCCACAGAAGTTTCCAATAGCTTGGGTATCCTTACTGCCTGGGACTGGATGGGAATCAGATTACCCGGAACAGTATGGAACAGATGACCACCCCTTCTGTTTTGGGGGAATGTCCCCATTCTTCTTACTACTGCCATGACCAGTGATTGGTTCTTTCATTTCCTCAATCCCCAGCGCAGGTGGGAACAAGAGATGTCCCCTTCGGTGACTTCATGATCATTTTTCTTTTTTGTCTCCAGTTTCATATTCTTCTGTTGTCCTTTCCAGATCCCCTATAGTTCAATTTCTTATTTTCTCCTAATTTTCACTTACTTTTCAATCCTTTGTCTTCGCATTCGTATGCAGTAGAAAGACCGATAGAATCCAGTCCAAAACCCAAACCCGTGGTCATTGTTCTGCATTCCCCCCTGTTGTTATCTTGACATCGCTGTAAACTCTCTTTTTCTTGTATCTTTTAAGAACGCTGCTATTCCCTTTTCTTCAATAAACTTGTTTTTCTTTTTTTTTATTATTTCCCTTCTCTTTTTGCTTTTTCATTTGCTTTTTATCCCTGGGACCCACTAAGGCGGTGACGAAGATCCGCGTCATTTCTCGACCAACTGCTTTTCTTCTTTAGTGACTTTACCCTTGCAACTTAACTCTCTTTACCACTAAGAACACTTCCCCGGTAACTGTTCCTTCTAGTGCTTTACCTCTTCCCTACTACGTTACCTCCTCGGGCGACGTGCTTTACTTACCCTCTTAGAACGACTTGTACTCCGTAGTGCTACTCGTTTTACCTTACCTTCCCACCCCTCCTCTCCACCCCCAAAACCCAATCCTGATTAATTTATACTCAATTCCATCATTATCTCCAAAACATACCTTACTACTTGAAACCTCCCCGATCCGATAACACTTGCATTGCCCCCTCCCCATTCCGATGCCTATCATCTCCGGTGGCTGCGCTTAATTTCCAGCCTGTAAGGTGCCTTTCTCTCGGAACGTGGCTAAATGCTGCTGATTTGCTCTGTCTTTCCAATAGTGACTCTATTGTCTAACTCGTTGACGCCAGATCCTCACCCCCTCTACCTGATCTTTTCGTCGTTGCGCCTGAGGTGAAAAAAACGCACCAACCATAGTCAGCCCGCTCTGGCCTCAACCTTCGATCTTCCTGTCGTCGTGCACGCCCGACCAATGTCCTCCCCATGTCAAGCCCTCCGTCTGTATCAGAAAATACCTGGTCTGGACCCCTGGTGACACCTGTTGCGTCTGCCCAAAATGATTGCTCTGACGGGCCTGAACGCCGTCATCACAAGCAGCCGCGCCACCACGCCCGGGATCAGCTCCTCCACCAGGGCATCCAAGATGCTCCTTCTCCTTCCCGTGCTGAATCCCCCACCGCTCATCAATGGGCCAAACCATCGGCCGGGTTCGCTCTAAAAAGGGCCACGACCGTCCCCCACGAAAAGCCTGCTCGTCCTGACCTATTTCACAGCCCCCAGTTGTCGGAGAGAGATAGCATCTTTGCTACCCACTACCTCCCTTCTGATAACGAACTCAGTAATTCGCCGCAGCTTCCGCCCGAAGGAGACACAGACAATGAACTGTCCACGAGCTTGAATCTTGCCAGCGAAAATGCATCCGCTTCTCCTTCTCCAATTCCCTCTTCCAAGGTCCTCCCCCGTCACACTATCGCCAACCTCTCCCACATGGAAGTTGACGTCCACAGAAATCCTTCCTTCCCTCCGTCACTATTACCGTCTGCTATACCGACTCGTCGTTCCCCACTGTTTTCCGTTGGTCCTGATGTAGACCTGGATAGGCAGCACGAGACGGCTCAACGAAGCTCGCACATCTCGGGCTGGGAAAGTTTCCAACCTCTGCGCAAGACGGCCTCGAATGGTACCGTTGTCGAGTCTCCAGAGGAGTCGCTCGTCAACCGCAGTTTGATCTCTTCCTCCCTCAATGATGTGTCTCTTCTGCAACGCCACTCAGTGGTCCCCTTAGACCATCTGCCTGCAGAGACCCAGCACGAGACAACGTCATTTCCAAAGCTCGATCAGCCCTCGCGGCAGGCTGCGCCTGAACTTGGAATTGGTCGCAGCTCGAGCCGTGGTCGTCGTGGCAGAGTAGACCACTCGATCGAGGCAAACCTGGCTAACGCGGAGCCGACGTCTCATGTGCGCAGCCGTAAGTCAAGCCATTATCTAGGTCTATTCAAGGAGAATACTACTTCACCGGATCGCAAAAGAAGGGAGGAACGTGGAAGACGGCACGATGACTCCCTAGAACCATTGGACAAGCATCAACCTGCTATCCACTCTGAACCTCGCCGCCTTCCGGAATTCTCTGACTCACAGCCTCAACTGCTGGTGTCCATGGATGATTCTAATCTTCGAAGCTCGAAAAGTTTATCTCATCTGTCAATGGCCGATGCTCCAGTGATCACCCCGATCCCAGAGGTCGAAACGTCGGAGCGCACGGTGAGCGATGATGTTAGGAAGCCTTATAAAACTTTGCCTCGCAGCTTACTCGAGGAGATCCGCAATTTCCATCTAACTCCAGGCGGTGCTCGCGGTACTTCGTTTTCCAAAAGCATCCCCACGCAATTTACCGAAGGCGGCAGGGACTACTTCTCGAAGGAGGTCCCCGGTCTCTCACCTTCGTCCGATACAGATCGAGAACGGCGCCGTGGCTCTGCACAATATGAAGATGAAGACGATGAACAAATTTCGTCCGCTGTGTATTACCCCCATGAGCGCGTCACTGTTTCTGAAGAGGTTGATCAGGTCCAGTCTTATCCGGATGGTCAACATGGTGCGGAACCATTCGACCTATCGCCCACGAAGAGTAGACACGTTCTAGTGCCCAAGAGACATAGCGTCTCTGATGAGCAAGAAATCAATCATGTGGATATATCTCTTCGATCTAAAAATGATAGTAGAATTCTGCACGGTGATCTGCAAGACAGACAAGCTCCACAATTAGAAGAGTTGATTGAAATGCCCCCGAGCGCCACAACCGATCGCAGCAGTGAGTATTCAACGTGCGAATCGGAGTTTGGTTCGGCGGATGAAAGTGGCATGTCTACTCGCGACGAAGAGTCGAGTGTGACCGATGAGGCTGAAATGACTCCGACTGCGACACCAACACAACGTCAACGTATTCCGCGCCGTGGACGCAAGCACGGCGCAGAGGCCCCTTTGGGTGCGGTAGAATTGAAACCTTACCGGCACCAGGTTGGTGGCCATACGACCGTCTTCCGTTTCTCGAGGCGCGCTGTGTGTAAACAGCTCAACAACCGGGAGAATGAATTCTATGAGCGCATTGAACGCAGACACCCGGAGATGCTCATGTTCCTTCCAAGGTATATTGATATAGTGCTTATCTTGTTTTACCCCTGTTAATGTGTAATCTCTTTGCGGCACCTGGCTAATTCGTGGTTTTCTTCAGGTACATCGGTGTGCTGAATGTTACTTTCTCTAAAAACCCCAAGCGTTCCAAGTTAACGTCAGAGGGTAATACGGAGATTGCAAATGCAGAACCTGCCACGGGTGAGACAAACGGTGCCCAACGGACCAATTCACTAACTGCCGACGGTTCTCGTCTGACTGAAACCGTGGATCAGCCACGGATATTTAGTCAGAAACAAGTCACTGGAATCATTCCTAAGGTGATCCTTGAAAATAACCGGCACATTATCCCGGCTGACTTGTTTTCTCGCCCACAACGGCCAAGAACTGCGGACGGTACAACAATGAGTCGAGAGAGATGTGCTCATGGTGCTACAGCGATCACTGGCGAACAAAGGTTGAAGAATGGATCTCTGGACGGCACAGGCACTCCTCCCCAAAAGCCCAAGATTAGCTGGGGTGCCACGACGGTCAACCGCAAGCTGCAGGAACAGGTTCTCCGAGAGGTCTTCAGTCCTCCAGCCATTCACCACCACCGGCGTCATGCTCGAGGCCACATCACATTACCAAGAATGTCCTCGGACAGTGTTACGCGCAGGAGGGCCAACTTGTCGGAGGATCACACTGCTAGTAGCCGTCGCAATGCATCCGTCCCCAATGAGCCACCACGGTCTGCTGCTATAGATATTATGAAACAAACAGGTGATGGCCCCGGCTTATCATCGTCAGCGTCTACCGCGTTAGACTCGAACCATAACCGTCTCCAACAAATTCGAACAGAAGAGTCCCAGCCACGCTCTAACTCTGTCTCGCGGTCTCGCCGGGTAAGGCGCCGTCATTCAGGAAGTGGTTTGCAAAGACGACGGAGCATGAGCCCGGGTAAGAAAGAAGGCGAACTCATGTTCTTCGAAGATGATGGGTATGGCGGTGATGGAGAGGACGAGATATTCTCCATGGAAGCGGATGCTCAAATGGTGCCGACGGCTGCTCAGAGTATGAAGTCACCCAATATTGAAGCCTTGGAGGCCGGTACAGCCGATGCAGTACAAGCTGAGGATGGCTCTGCTGCCGATATGCCACCGAAGGATCAAATTTTCATTCAACCAAAAGAGGACAATCGCTTCCTCCTTCCTACCAACCCCAAAGAGGCACAGACACGAAAGGATGAACGTGTGCAGTTTTTCTTGCTATTAGAAGATCTCACTGCTGGCATGAACAAGCCTTGCGTCCTCGATCTCAAAATGGGAACACGCCAGTACGGAATCGAAGCTAATGAGAAGAAAAAGAAATCTCAAAGACGGAAGTGCCAGTCCACAACCTCTCAGCAGCTAGGTGTCCGACTCTGCGGCATGCAATCTTGGAATGTGAAGAAACAGGAATATACGTTTGAAGACAAGTACTTCGGTCGGGATCTAAAGTCAGGGCGTGAATTCCAGGATGCCCTCACCCGATTCCTCTACGATGGTGTCAGCTATACCACCGTGGCGAAGAAGATCCCTGTCATCCTTGAAAAACTGTCCAAACTAGAGAATATGATCCGAAAGCTGAAAAGGTATCGGCTTTACGCTAGCAGTCTTTTGATCCTTTATGATGGCGAGCAGTCTTCCCCTGAGAAGGTTCCACAGGATGACAAGAGTGGTGCCAGCAAGCGAATTCCATTGCAACGGGGTACCTCTGATGAGGGACATAATAACATGGATGTTCAGCTGAAGATCGTCGACTTTGCAAACTGTGTCACTGGCGAAGATGAACTTTCTCCGGATGCCCCTTGCCCCCCACATCATCCGGATGATATCGACCGCGGTTATCTGCGTGGCCTCCGGACCCTCAGAATGTATTTCCAGCGCATCTTGAAGGAGCTCACCCAGGATGAATATATTGAACGAGGAGAGGGCGAGACCATTGCTCTAAGATCCCAGGTGTCTGGCAAAGAAGACTTGTCCGATCGCTATTGGGATGAAGGGGTGGTGGAAAGCGATCCGGGCGAAGTCAGTTATTAGTGTTGGTCTCGCATCCTACTGTTTCTACGTCCCCCACGTTTTTCTGTTGTTCCATATCCCCTACTTGATTTCTGGGATTCTTTTTTCTTTTTTCTTTTTTCATTTTTTCTCTCTTTTGTCTTCGTTTTGGTCCCTTCACCGTTTTCTTCAGTCTGTTTCACCTTACCGAGTTTGGAGTTAGCGGCTTTGCATTCTCTTTCAAGTCAGTCGATCAAAGAATCATTTGAGAACAACGGGATACGGCGTCAAAATTGCATGCAATGGACCAGGCGTTATCGTTCCATCTGCTTCTGTTCTTTTCTTCCCTGCCAACGTCGAATGATGTCGACGACATTTTAACGACTCACCCCAGGGATGCGGTGGAGGAGTCTTTCGACAACCGATAATACGATACTGACGATTGATCATGGCATAATGCTCACCTCAGAGCCCTTGTCTATAAATGCCTGGAGCATCATAGAAGGTCTTTCGTGCGAGAGCGATTCGATTCTGATGGCGTGTATGAATTTGTCCTTGTTTAATTTTTTTTTTTTCTTTTCTGTCTAAGTTTTGTTTCTATTTCGGACATGTCTTGTTGATTATACCTCCCGGGAACTTGTCCGATTCCCTGGACCTTTTTCCATGTTGAGCTATGAGGGTGACGTTCCAGAAGTATGCTAATGTACATAAATGGTGGGAGGCTTTAGACAAGAACATCATAATCATACATGTTTAATTTTATGGTTTCGCCCAAGTAGACTCTGGTACAGTATGCGGGTCACTGAGCCGAGGGAGTTGCCTAAAAGGGGGGATATTGAATGACTGATAAGCACACGTCACGTGTAGTCGGCGATAAGCGGTGTAATCGCCAGCAGATGCATGACTCTTTCTCCTCATCCCCTTACCTCATTTCCATAGGTCCGCCTGTCTATCTTGTTTCTAGTGTGTGTGAGTGGGTAGGTCTACCTCGAGTTTATTCTGTATAACTCTTTTCGAAATCTGTTCCCATAAACATGCCCTTTCCTTAAAACCTCCCGGTGACGTAGCGGAGCCTCGCCTCGGAGCTCAGTTAAATGATCCCCTCTCACTGCTCAGTTGCTCACAGGAACAGTATACGGGACCCTAGCTTATCCAGCTCGGATCGGCCTATATATAGTTCTTTAAAGTCTTTGTTGTACGAAAACCGCCTTTTTACACTTCCTCTCCACTAGCCAGACCGACGACAAAATGTCGCCGTTTAATGGCCGCGACTCATCTATTGATAAACGAGACTTTGACACAAACCGTCCAATCCTGGCTACCTATGACTCTGGTGGAGATACACAGGGTAGAGATATACACTCACGACCGGAATCTAGGATCTCTACACGCCGTTATAGTGACAGTGAAGACGGTCTCTTGAACGATGTTGTTGAAGAAATAGTGGAAAGGGATCGCCGCAGGCTGGCTAAGGAAGTGGTACGGATATGTAGCTTTGCCTTGGGGGTAGTAACCTGGTGAGCCCAATATGAAGATCTCGTTACATTCTGCGCCAACCGGTCTTGCTGACAAGATGATGCAGCCTAGGAGCCGGTAGCATCACTGCGTTCTCCCTTTACGGCCCCTTGTTTCTTACCCGTCTTCATTACACTCAGCTCCGAGTAAATGCTGTATCGATTGCTGCTGGTGTGTCGATGTATCTTCCAGTCTCAATCTTCGGATACCTCTGTGACCGGTATACCCCGTCGCCGCTGGCTTTGTTTTCCGGCACGGTTTTTGGAATAGGTTACCTTTTAGCTGCAATCGTGTATAAGAACGGCCCACCTCCAGATGCAGGTGGAAATGGGTACCCCTTCTGGGTGATGGTAGTCGCTTTCGTGTGCGTCGGGACTGCCACGAGCTGTATGTACTTGGCCGCCGTCACGACCTGCGCCAAAAACTTTGGCAGGGGCAAACACAAGGGCATTATGCTTGCCATCCCCATAGCTGCTTTTGGCCTTAGTGGCATGTGGCAGAGTCAAGTGGGTACGTACTTCTTGTATGAACGGTTAGAAGATGGCAGCCGTGGCGATGTAGACGTCTTCCGATACTTCATTTTCCTCTCCGCATTGCTTTTTGGTATTGGCGTCATTGGGACTTTTGGATTACGGATTGTGGATGAGGATGAGGAGAGATACATCGATGAAGCAGTTGAAGAACTTGAGAGGAGTGGCCTGTTGGAAGAGAGCGAATTCTTCCGGTCGAGAAGCGAGGTTAGAGCTGCCTACGGGACGTTCTCACCGTCCGATAATGGTGACGACGAAGAACGAACGCTATCACTGACCCAAAGTGAGGAAGAGAGGGAAGCAGCAAGGCTCGAGAAAGAACGAGAGGAGGAGGAACGCAGGAAGAAAAACTGGCTATTGAACTGGGAAACGAAAGTGTTTCTCAAGGATCATACGATGTGGTGGCTTGCCTTGGGCTTCTTCTTGGTTACAGGACCAGGTGAAGCATACATCAACAATGTAAGTGGCACTCACGCATCGCCATTGTACATCGATTTGCTGACCTTTCTAGCTGGGCACTGTGGTTGGAGCACTGACCCCAGAGTCAAGCTCTTCCAATGTTCCTTCCCCTGCCGGCAAACCATCTACACATGTGACAACTATTGCGCTTACTTCAACAATTGCCCGACTCCTCACAGGATCCTTGTCGGATTTCTTCGCACCCCCAGCAACCCATCTGTTCCCAACTAACGGAGAAGCTCTGCGCCCCAGCTCACCGTCCGGTTCAAAGCGAATTACTTTATCTCGACTAACATTCCTCCTACCATCCGCTCTTCTCCTCTCGCTTGGTTATCTTATCCTCGCATCCCCCTTACCAGTCCAGCACCCGGAATTGACCCACGTAACCACAGGCCTTATCGGCTTCGGTTACGGGAGCGCATTCTCCCTCGTCCCCATCATCATCTCCGTAGTCTGGGGCGTTGAGAACTTCGGCACGAACTGGGGTATCGTTGCCATGTTTCCGGCAGCAGGCGCTGCCCTGTGGGGCCTCGTCTATTCCCGCTTTTACCAAGACGCCACGGATGGAGGCAATGACTCGACAGATGGCCAGTGTCATGGCTGGAAATGCTTTGGATACTGGGCCTTGGGATGTACGCTGAGCGTATGGGTGGCCGTTGCCGCGTGGTGTGTCGCTTGGAGATCTTGGAAACGCAGGGGCGTTTCCGTTTGAATTGCTTACATTCACTCTTATATAGTTCCATCAGGATGCAATACCGGATAGAGGCGTACATTGGATGATTTATTCTGCATCGGTCATAGGCAGGCAAGGCGAAATTGGCAACATAGGTTATGGTATCTACTCTTGAATTCATTATGATTGGTCCATTTCATATCACAATTATGCAACATATACATGATACCGTATGAGCGTACGAAAAGAAACATCCCACCTAACAGACAAGCAAGAAGCCCCAACCCCGTCTTAGACACCATATACTCCAATATCTCCGAATAAAGAAAATGAATAACCAATAAAAGATACCAAGATACCATATACAAGGTATCATCACCAAGATAATCACATCTACCATACAAACCATACTCAGATATCAGTCGCAGACGGATCAAGACCCATAAAGACCCTGTAAAGCCGTTTACTTGCTGCAGGTCCGATACGAGAATCTGTTAGTGTGCCGTTTCTGTCTGCAGATTTCTATAGGGACGTGTTAGTTTATTTCCACAGACATGTTGTATTTATTTAGATATATTGCAAGTCAAGTGCAGGGAAGTTGATAGCCTATACATACCTTTACATCCTCCAACATGGCCGGGCCATGTCTTCGCATTCCGCGGACTAGATCGACAGCACTTGGGTATTGAGTCGTAATGCCGTATGCCATGGATGCTGTGACACGGGTTACTTCCTGGAGCATTTTGATGAAGGTATCGGATTTGTTTTCGCCGGGTTTGACCTGGCCTCCGTCCATGCAGAAGGCGGAGTCATTGCCTTCCATTCTTTCGCGGCGGTAGGGGACGGTCGAGATGTGTTCTGTGAAGTTTTTGATCCATTCGGCTGATTCGGGCGCTGCGGTGGTGTGGTGGATGAGACAGGAGTGCGTGACTTGGAGGGATAGGAGCGCGTCTTCGATTGTGTCATCGTTGACTGAGGGCGTTGTTTCGGGCTTGTTGGCTGTTGTTTTCTTGCGGCGGGGATTGGTGGTGGTAGTGGGTTGGTCTTGGGGTTGGGATTGTGAGTATTGGCGGCGGACTTCGGCTTGGTAGGCTCTATTTCGGGAGTTTTGGCTCTTGCGCATCCAGGCTGTGAGACCCTCGATTAGGTAGATTGGTGTACTAGTGGGGTAGGCAGATTTGAGTCGGTGGACGTGGTGATCGAGGTCGTTTGTGTTAGGTGAGGTGGCTACCACCATATCGACGAATTCTGGCGCCGTTAAGAGAACAAGAACGTGTTCCTCTCCGCGGATATGAAACGGACATGGTTCCCAGTAGCCTAGGTTATCGTTGTATCTGGCCGTGACCTTCCGCCGCCACTTGACGACATTCGGAATCTCGCTGTCGAAAAACGTCTGCTCGACCTTGAGCCGTTTCATGAACTCAACCGCCTGATTGCCCACGCTCGTTCCCTCGAATTCCCGTGCAAGATCGATGATCATCTCCGGCGTTGATTCCTTCTTATCCACCTTCAGCTTATTCACCTCCGCAAGATCAGCCGCAAGTTGTTTCTCCCGCGCTTTCTCCTCCTTGGCCTTCTGCTTCCGCTCCTTCTCTAGCTGTTTCTCCCGCTCACGCTGCACTTTATTCGCCTCCCGTTCCCGCGCTTGGCTTCCTTATCTGTACTCGTAGGCTTCGTAGCCGTCCTCCGCGGTGCCTTAGTCTTCCGAGACGGAACCACTTCCTCCACCTCATCCACCTCCTCATCCTTATCAACACGCCCCCTCCGACCCGACGCCACTCCTCCACCAGACCCCGACTTCGACCGATCAAGACTCGCCAGCAAACTCGCCGTCCGACTCGATAACCCAGGCCGCTTATTCGCCGTAGCATCCAACCCAAGCAACTCATGCAAATCAGGCATCCTGATCTCGTCACTAAACCCCTCGATCTCATCGCGCGCATCTCCCCTCCTAACACCTCCATTCCCACCAACGAAATCATAATCATCATCATCGTCATCATCAATCGTAATCGTATCCGCCTCGCGTCCTCCCCCCTCCCTCACCCGAGCCACACTCTCCGGCCCCGGAGCCGACGAAGTAAAGACAATCGGATCCTCCTCCGCACCCTCACAAGCCCGTGGCCCATCCGACGAAGGCAGAATATCATCCGAGAAAAGGAACAGCGGGTTCCTCGACGCCGGGATATGCGAGCGCGCGCTGGTTTCGGTGAGGGCGGGTTGCGAGGACTGGGCTCTTCGCTTAGACGGAGTCGTTTTGGGGCGTTGGAGTCGTTGTTGTTGTCGTCATTGTTGTAGGTGGGTTCGGGGAGGTCCCAGTCTGAGGAGAGGATCGGGAGGGTGAATGACCTTGGTGGGGGGATTGGGGATGAGGGGATAGAGGGGCGACGGGGTTGGTAGGACGGGGGTGGGGGTGGAGGTGTTGAGGAGATGAGGTTTATTACCTCTGGCATTATTTTGATCTGGAGGGCTTGTTTTGGAGGTTGTTTTTGGGGGGAAGCTTGTGTCTGCTGATAAGGATTGATATGCACGTGTCGCGTGCGGAGCGCGCGGTCACGTGGTGATAACGGTGGGCTCTTATACTCATAACTTGTAGATCGATCCATTGAATGATTGAGGGTATTGTATTGGATGGTGTCTATTGTACTGTACAAAGTAATGGAAGCGGGGGGTATTATCAGCAACAACACTCAAATCGTCTTCAGGGCAAAAGCAGCAAGCAGGGAGAGCGCGACTCCGGATAAGGCCAAAAGGACGACAATCTGCTGGAGTCCGGCGAATGGACGTCTCTCGCGCGCGAGCATGTCCGAGATCTCCTCCTCGAGTCGATCGCCCATGGCCGATAGGGAGAATTCCCGCTCCACCCTCTCTTTCGCCGCGACGGACATCCTGTCGAACTCCTTCTGGTCCATTCCGTAGAGCACCTTATCCATGACCGCTGTCCAGTCGGCGTCCTTCTTGGCATCGCGGAGCCATCCTGTTTCGCCCTCGACGATCGTTTCCAACGGGCCGCCGGTATTCGACGCCAGGACGGGAATTCCAGCGCGCATTGCCTCGACAGGCACAATGCCAAAGTGCTCGTTGATAGGCGTATAAAGAAGCAATTTCGCGTGCTCGAGGAGCATATCCCGGAATGCAGAGGGCACGGACAGCAAAAACAGCACATCAATGGAATCGGGAACGGACAGGGCCGAAATAACCGTCTTAGATGTAGCAGTCTGCAATCCCAGACTAGTCGCAAGCTCATCCAGTTCCCGATGGTACTGCACATTCTCCTGGACCCGGTTATCATAACCACCTACAGCATCATCGTCAGCCAAACACCACACCCCAACGTCAAGAAAGACAAGAACAGGGAGTAAAAACAACATACCAGCAACAACCAACCTCGTCCCTTTCCTCTTCTCCGGCCCCAACCCATGATACGCACGGATAGCAAGCGCCATATCCTTCTTCCTCTCAAACCGATTAATACTCAAAAGAATCTTCTTCCCACCCCACAGCACCTGCCCATCCTTCACAACCGCTGGGTCCTTCGAGGCCGCCGGTTCCGTGTCAACACACGGATAAACAACACTAACATCCCCAAGTTTCTCACCCCCAAAAACCTCGCTCACAACACCCCTCGTAAACCTCGAATTCGCAACAACCTTATCAGAAGCACTCATAGCCCACCCCTCAAACCAATCAAACGGGTACCGGTAAAGCGTCTTGACAAAACTCAAGAGAGACCCTCCCTCCCCGCGAAACGCAAGCAACTGGTCCGGAAAATGACAGTAGAAGAGGATCCGTTGTCGTTGTCGCGCAAACGTCTTTAGAAAGGGGACACAGGCGGGGACCTGGTCGACGATGAAGATATCATCTTTTGATTCCTCGCCAACCTTGCTTTTCTCGTTCGCATCGGAAGTATGGGCTATCTCTCCCAAGACGGAGATGGTGAGATGTAACTGTCTCAGGATCGCCATGAGGACATGGAACCGTCGGAATACATGCGCGGGGAATACCGTGTTGCCCCGCACTTTGACGTCGAGGGTGCCATCGCGCGCTTCTTCGAAACAGTGTGATTTGTCGCAGTGCGAGGTATAGATCGTTACTTTGTGGCCGCGGTTTTGGAGCGCAAGCGCCACGTCGATAATAAGACGCTCGGCACCGCCGATGCCCAGATCTGGGTGGATGATAATCACGTTGGAGCGTTTGAGGCCCGACATGGCGGTCTCAGAGAGGAATTGGAGGTTTTTACGAGGTGGAATGGTGAGTGGGCATTTCTGTAATTGCTGTTGCGAGCTGGAGCTCTGGTCGAGTATGCGACACGCGGCCATTGGCTACGTCATGTGACGATGTGGAGGTTATCTATTGTTTATCTGATAAGGATCTCAAATGATCTGTTCATGCCTGAGTTTGCCTGTTCACCTGATTTCTTGTTCCATACCTGTAGTCTTATGCTACTCCAATGACTGCGTATAATTTTCCAGAGACCTTATAAACAGGGTCGTCAATAAATACCAGTACTAGCACACCTAACATTCAGTTATATAAAACCATGGTCCAGACAAACCTAAGAAGCTACGATGAGATAAAAATGAACTGTCCAAAACTGTCATATGACGGTCTTTATATACACTTCGCTCAGTGCCATTTGTTCAGCCTAACATCCGGTATGCATAGACGTACGAACATCAGGCTAAGCCAATAAACCACACAGAAACACATCATGAGGCAGGATTCGTAATCCAAAAAAGAGGGAGAGACGGGCATGGAGGGTAAATAGAGAAAATAGTGCGAATACACACATGAGAAAGGGAAAAAGGTATCGCGAATCGAACAAGGGGAATCGGCGTCGAATTCATAATACAGGGGAATGAACATCATCTCTTAAGGAACAAACAAAACAACAAATCTATGAGATAAGCAGAACGATCCTGCAAGTCCAAAAATTAAAAGCAGTTGAGGGTGCTCTTCTTTTTCTTCTTGTTAAGCGCATTCATACGCTCTTCAAGCTGGGCTCTAGCGGCTTCAGCTTCGCGGCGAGCATTTCTCTCCTCTTCCACAGCTTGGAGTGACAGGCGCTGAGAGTTGCGTTCTTTGCGAAGAGTGGTCAGCTCCTCCTCCAGCTGCCAGGCCTTCTTCTTCCAAGCCTCACAGTCAGACTTGACCTTGTTACTTTGGGCTTCAAGGTCTCCGAGAGCTTCTTCCAGAGTAGCGGTGAGCTGCTTCTCAGCGTAGAGATGCTTCTCTATGGTGCGAATACGAGCCTCCTGGTCCTCGACGACCTGGGTATTGGCCAATTCTTTGCTAGCGTGACGAGAGCTTGGGGGAGAGATGCTACCAGAGGTTCCGTTGGTAGCGGAAGCAATGGTAGGGAGAGGCGGAAGGGGAATAGCAGGTGGTGGGGATGGGAGGGATGTCGCAGATGAGCTCTTCCGCAAGTTAGAGGTGATAGAGCTGCTGCGATCGTGGGAGGTAGAATCCTGGCCTGAGCTATTCTTGATTTGAAGCTGCAGGTCCATTAGTGGTTGGACTCCATTGGTTATTATGGGATGACCTACCTCAAGCTGTTCAATTCGTACTTTGTAAGTTTCGATATCCGTCTCGTAAGTAACAATCTTCGCCTTTGCATCCTCCAGGGCCTGATCACGCTCCTGCTGTATAATGGAAAGACGGTTGTGGTGCTGATCGAAACTGCTGGTGATCTGCTCTTCAAGCTCCTCCACGAGGCGAACACTCTTCTCCTTCTCGGCCGAAATCTCCGCAACAAGCGCTTCCTTCTTCTTGATCTGCTCCTCTCTCTGGTTGAGGGTGTCTTCAAGTGTAGCAACCAAGACAGCAAGCTCGTTCACCTTTGCCTCTTTCTCCGTGTTGCTCTTAGTCAGCTCGTCAACACGGTCGGTGTCATTGCCCTTGAGCTCCAGTTGCTTGCGAAGATCTTCATTTGCGCCCATCAACTCAGCATATTTATCAGAGAAATGCTGCTTCTGTGTCAGAATTTCCTGGATTTGGTCTGCCAGGTTGTCTGCGGTGACGTCCGAGTTCAGAAGGTTAGAAACCATCTTGAGCAACTTTACCAGTTCGTCTCGCGACTCCGTGATCTCAGACCTCAGAGCCTTCAGGGCGTTGTCATGCTCGGTGTCCTTCTCCGTGAGCTGCAGTTCATATTCAGCCTGTGCCGCAGCCTTAGCCCGTGCCTCCAACTCGACAAGCTCTGCTTTGTGTGATTCCTGCAAGGAGTCTAAGTCCTTTTTGTATGAATCAGCATGTGATCTGTGGGACTCGATTTCCTGCTCAAGTTCAGAAACACGGTTTTGGCGCGCTTCGATTTCATTTCCACTGGCGTCTTTTGAGGCGAGGAGCTCCCTCAGCTGTTCCTGGCTGCGCCGTGGGACTTCTCTAGGAAAGAAATTGTGTCCACATGAGCAGCAGCTGTCGATTTATGCTGCTCGATATCGCGCTTCAGTCCCTCAACAAGCTCCTGCTGCTGGGATCTCTCGTTCTCCAGAGCCTTTGCGGCCGCCTCCTTCTCGGCAGACGATGCTTCACCAGCAGCGGCTCTTTCGGCGCGCATTGAATCCAGAGTGGCCAGAGCACTGTTGAGCTCTGCAAGCGTGGTGCTAAGTTGCTGCTCTGAAGATTGCAGGGATTCAACAGCGCTCTGGTGCTTGGTCTTCCACTGGGTCAATTCGCCCTCAAGAAGGCCGATCCTCTTGTCCTGCTCCTCGGCACCTGCATCATATGCTTTAGCAGCTTCCTCTTGAGTCTTGAGAAGAGCCTTCAACTCCTCAATTTCGTCAAGCAGAAGCTTTTCTCTGGCCTCATGGGCTTCCTTCATCTCGTTGATGATGTTTTCCTGCTGGACAACTTGGTCGCGCAACTGGGAGACAAGACCCATATCTACTGACGAACCGGTACCTTGCAAACTGGAACGTTCACGAGTGAGCCCAGATATGATGGTCGATTTCGTCTCCATTTCCTTCTTCACGCTTTGGTTTTCAGCTTCCAAGGCTTGAATGCGTTCCATGCGATTGTGCAGTTCATGCATAGCTGAGTCCAAATGTACTTCGAAGTTTTGCATCGTATCAGGACGACTGTCAAATTCTTCCACTGCGATGTTCCGCAAGGCAGCTAGGGAGCGATGCGCTCGGTCGACATTTCCAATCAGGGTTTGGCTTGACTTCCTCCGAATCACAGGCTTATAGCCTGGTGTTGTGGGAGGAGAAGCTCTTGGCTTCTGGAGTTCGGACTTGAGTGTTTCGATGAGATGTAGTGTCTCAGCGTGTTCGGCTTGCAGCTCAGCATATTTTTGGGTCATAATACTGACACCTTCCTGATGCTCAGAGAGCAGTCTGCGCATGTGCTCGACCTCCTGTGCCTTGGCCTCGTCGTTTTCGGACACTGCATCTACAAAGTTTTCTGCTTCGGGTCCGGACTTGGCGTTAGATGATTCGTGCGAAGCAGCAGGCTCCCCGACCAAGGATAACTCCGATGAGAGTGATCGCGAGGAGGACTGTTGTATTCCAGTCTTCGAGTCGGGGGCCTTGACATCCTCTAAAAAAGACACCGGTCGCGAAGTAGGGGCTGGTGAAATGAGCTGGCGGGCATCGGGTGAGGCATGCCGAGCTTCGTCCGCAGCGTCCTGCCGCAGGTCGGCCAAGTCCTTCATGGCTTGCTCATACTTGGCTTCGAGCAACTCGTACTCGTTTACTGTAGACTCGTGCTGCGTACGCAAATCGAATAGCTCCTGGGTAACCGTCTCGAGCTTATCCGCAACGACCCTGGACTGAGTCGGGCTAGGGGTCCGATCTTGGACTTGTTCATTTCGGTCGATCTGGGGGAGATCGGTAGCATTCTCCAACGCTTTGAGATCGTCGTTAGCCTCAGAAGCCGGCTCCGAGTTGAGGGTGTCACCCTCAACCTCTGGGGCGGGTTCAGCCGAGTCCTCATCAGATTCCGGTATAGCGGTTTCAACGGCTTCAGTCAGCACATCAAGGGACGCTGCCCGCCTTTGAGGATGGTAAGCACGCTTGACAGGCGTCTGCATCTCCGGTTCTTCGTGGTCCCTTGCTGTACTACCGTTCGGCTGGCTGTGATCAAGATCATATAGGAGGTTATCCAACTTGCCCAGGCTCCTTTGACGCTCGATGACATGCTCCAGGCGATCCACTTCTCGCTGCATAAGTTCCATATCTTGGTCGGCTTCCGCGAGGCGCTCTTCCAACGTCGTTATGTAATCTTCGCAGTTAGCTTCACTTTCGCGCGCGCGAGTCAGTTCTTTACGAAGCTCTGAAATGATGGCTGCTTGTTTCTCTTCACCGGAGGACTGCCCATCAAGCCTAGACTCCAGTTCATGGAGATAGGTTTCTGTGCCGGATTCTCGTTCGAGAAGCTTCTGGATGCGAGCCTGAAGTTGGGTGTTTACGGTTTCGACGTACGTGCATCTGGTCTCACGCTCAAGAAGCGTGCTTTCAGTTGCCGATAGGGAGGATCGCGTATTGGAAAGGGATGACTCGAGACTCTGGATAGTCTTCTCATATTCTAGCACCACTTGCTCAACAGATTCCGCAAAAGAGTGAGACCGTTTCAACCTTTCAATGGAGTTTTTGCCGATATATGACGCGGCGTCATTCGGATCAGTGCTCTCTTCCGTTTCCGAATCTCTAGCAAGCTCGGAGATCAACTTAGCATGTCGTTGACTGAGCGCATTGTAGCTTTCCTGAACATCGAGGAGCTGGTTCTGGAGATCAGCCTCCCTCTCATTCTGACGCTCTGACCGGTCTTGGGGATCGACGCTGCGCCTTTCATTATCCTCAGCATTGCGGAGCTGCTGTCGCAAAAATGCCACTTCCGCTTTGAGTCTTTCAATCACGGCATGCTTGTCGCTCTCATCATGCACTTGCTGAATTCGAGGTTTACTTTGGATCGCCCTTGCTCTCTGCGCATACTGGACTGTGTTCAGCGTTTCACTGAGGTGAAACTCGGCTGGCGTCACACACGCAATCATGTAGGTGTACGCATTTCCGCCCAGAGAGTCTTGCAGGAGCCGTGTAAGTTTTGAATCACGATAAGAGACATGAGAGCCTGCTTGACGAGAGGATAACTGCGAGATGACCTTGCCCAAGGCAGCCAGACCAGCGTTGATAGAAATACCCTCTTTGGCGCGCTCTCCAGACGCTCCGGTATTCTTCAGCCGTTCGCTTCCAGCAAGATCAACAAAATGGAACTTGCTCTCCACGGTAACGGAGACATCAGAACCAGAGGGTAAATCGGCGGGCATGGACATCCGCTTGTCCTTGGTGGAGGTGATTCCGTTCGCGGATTTGCGCCGAACCAGGTTCAAACTGAACACCGCGTGCGATCGAGAAGACTTCGCGTTAATCGCAGTCGAGTCTGTCTGTCGAATGGTCGAGCCAAAGTTCAACGCGCCTAGGAGGTCATCGATCGAGTTGATGTTGACCTGGTGCAGACCGGTAGGAATGATGCGACCCTTCGTGTCTTCGCGAATGGTAACCGTGGTACGCTCACTTGCGGGCGTGAATCCGGGATAAGGAGATCTCTCAGGTGCTCATTGTAAATCTGCACATGTCAGCCTCGTTTTGATTCGCCATTGAGGTATACAACTGTACTTCAACATAAGTAGCTTTCATCTGCCAGTCCTTTTCGGTGTTCGCTTTGCTGAAACTTGAAGCTGAGCTAATCGAATATCGCGCGGGCGTCCGTAAACCGGTGGAGCCGTTGCGATTGTGCTTTGGGGGACCTTCCAATTGTTCGAAAAGATGTTGGGCGGCGCGTGGGATGATTCCTGATTCTGTGAGTCAATAGCATACTCCAGCCGCGCTATACTGAAGCAGACTCACCCATTCCTTGACTCGAAGTCTGTTCATTGGGCCCCGATGTTCCCATCGTATAGGATTTACCAGCACCGGATTGGCCATAGGCCAAAATCGAGACATTGTATCCCTGTAGGAAAGAAGTGACGCTGTCGTTGAGGTATTCCCAGATACCAGCCTGATCTACCGTTTCGGGAAAGACCCGGTCAAACACAAACAATTTGCGACCCTGCGGCACATCCACGGCTAAGTTTGTTGGTGTGGTGACGTGGACCATGGAACGTTGGAAACGTTGCGGAATTAATTCATAATTCGGGTCGTCGGGCTTCAATGGAGGTCGGACACGGACAGCTGCGAAGGTGTTAGTGCTTTACCGGAGAAGATCGATAAGGCAGTCAAGTTTCCGCGATCGCGACAAATTTCCGCGCAAGTAAAGCGCTCGGGACTCGAAATCCCAAACCGGACGAGAACATACCAACTTTGACAGCCGTCTTGCCATCCTCATCAGAGGCCCGGCTTCCTCCGCCTTGTTTAGAACTCATGCTCAAACGACTGGTGCTCCTGGGGGTACGCATGATGCCACTGAGTCGCTGAGGCGCACCTGACGGCGAACCTGGCGGCGAGGCCGTCATGACCCTTTTATCTGGACACTTCGAATGGGTTCACTTTTGGGCAAAAAGGTCGGGCGTCGTGGGATGCGAAAATTGCTTTATTGGTCAAGAATGGCAGAAGGAGGGTGTCATCAGCGGTGATTAATTGTAAGGGTATTTGTTGTTTGAGGCTTTTGTTTTTTTTTCTTGGATTGTGTTTTCCAAGAAGTCGTCGCACGGTATGGCGGCCTGCGGCAATCGGCGACGTGAGTGGTCCCCTTATTTTCAGGGCAGACAAAGCATACGAAAAGATCGAAGACACCTAGTCGGAGATCCAGCAAATTAGACAGAGGAGGGCAACAGATAAAATCACAAATCGAATACAAAAAAAGCCAATGGTAGCGGGCAAATAGTCCAGCGCCTCGAAGTGCAGCGGAAACAAAGGAGGGAAAGAGCAACGACAACAAAATGACAACACCAACAGAAGAAGAAATGGAAGAAAAGGAAAAAGAGTGCCAATGACGGGTCTGGGGTAGAACTTACCAGGTCGTTAGTCGTTAGTCGTGGCAGCAGTTACGGTAGTAAGCATTAGTCGTAGGGTACCTGAATCCTAGACTGGTCGAAACTGTACGGAGAGAGAGAAGGTAAACTAAAACTGGAATGGGTAGTTTAGAACTTAGTTCGTTGCGACTCCTGAAAAGGCCGGTCAAAGTTAATTGGTGGCCTTCCACAATTGAAGCGAACCAAAACTGGGGCGGTTGATCCAGTTGGCTGGAGTTGTTCACAGTGGAGGAGACTGGACGGAGTACTAGACGGTAGACGGTAGACGACGGCTAACAATATGTGAGAGTAGGGGGGGGTAAAAGGAGGGGCGGTGCGTAATTAATTCAGGAACTCATTTCCTGAAGAGCACTCTTTTTTTTCCTTTTCCTTTTTCTTTTCTTTTCTTTCTGTCTTTTTTTTTTTTT